CGAGCCAAAAGCGTTGGATAAGGTATCCGCACTTTTTTTTGACTGAGTATTTCTAACTCAAGACGAATTTGATTTTTTCAGAAATGGGATCGAATACTAAGTCTTCGACCAAAAACAGTGTTGATTTCTTTTGGTAGCGTGGCGCGATCTATATTTATGCCAACTGAGATGAAAAAATCCATTGTTGAAACTGCCAAGACGTAGGACATTTCAAGTAGAAAATAGCTACTAGCGGCTCACTCGCTTCTCCTCCATAACGTTTTGTTGTTATAGTCATCCTGACGTTACATTTGTCTGGAAATACGAGGAACCAGATGACGCGCCATTTGCAGCTGGTGTTAATAATCTATTTCTAACAAAGTGGACTCCACAAAGCGACTTATTAGGTAGGTATTTATTGAGTTGCCGATTCGTTAGTTTCAGATGGTTTCAAACGAAGTGGAGGATATATACTTGATAAATTTCAGCATTTATATGCACACTAGCATTCTAGTACCGCACCAGAAACTGCTATAAATTGCCACTAACATTATTTCGCCCGTTATACCACAGTTTGAAGCTTCTTTGAATGATGTGTCCTTAAGACCCTAACTTGGTTTATTTTGGTTTGAAAGGAATTTTTCGAGATTCTGTTAGTTGTTCGATAATTCCTTCTAAAGTAAGAAAGTACTTTTTATATAGTATGTACCACATCATGTTAAATTCTCCGTAACGTCAAAACACTAACCAAGGACAGAAGTAGAATTGCATCTGATTGGCAAAGATATGCAGACTCTTATAGCCCTCAACCCTGACGAAAAACTTTGGCTGAGCTTAGATCTGTGTTTTTAAAGTGGATGAAAAGAAATCTAATGAATGCTCTTTTCAAGGCAAAGAATGATGCCTTTTTTTCAACAAAATGTTCAGCTGATAATCGCTTAACGTTGTTTGTTACCCACGGCGGAGCTGGAAGTTTGATGGAGAGTGCATTCCGTGGCAAACCTTTAATAGTTGTTCCCTTATTTGCCGATCAGACCAGGAATGCTAAACTTGTTGTAAAGTTTGGTTTCGGTAAGCAGACAATAAATTAAATCATAACGCTCATTAAGAACTTGTCCCTTAAAGGATTGATGCTGTCTAAAGAAAATCTCTTAGATAGCAGAGCAATGAGCAGTGCGATTGAGGAAGTGCTTACAGATACAAAGTAAGTGTTTCTTGCATCTATGATTTGCAATAAAAATTCCTTTGCTTCGTTCAGGTATCAAAAAGCTGCTCATCGCATTCGGAACATTCTGGCAAAACAAACGTTCTCGCCTAAGCACAAGTTGATAAAAACTGTGGAGTTAGCTGCGGAGTTCGGCGAGATGCCTCAGTTTAGGGTTGCTGGCCGTAATCTCGGAATCATTACCTATTATAATTTAGACATTATGCTGCTATTCATCGCTTTGATGCTGTTTTTAGTGTATTTACTATTATTTATTTTTTATAGGATGTTTAGGGTAATGGCAAACATACGTATGGTTAAAACCAAAAAGCATTGAGCACTGACTCTGCGATAGTACTTTTGTAACATATAATTGTATCATGACTCAATAATGATGATAACACTTTGATCTTTGAAATTCTCGTATGATTTAATATGCAAATATATTCGCGCTAATAAAAAATTTGTATTTATGAGTTTTAGCGCATAAAATTACCTTCAAAAAGTGAATAATGTAAAACTACATAGATAAAGAACATAGAAATGTTTCAATTAACACCACCTCGCACCAATCTCTTATACGTATCCAACTTATGTCTGATTGCTTTATTGATGAAAAATACTATGGGTGTGTGAAGTCTGTCCCATTACTCAGTTATAATTGCAAGAAACTTTCATATTATGCATGCTTACTGCCCTTCCGAAAAGCGTTCCAGAAAAAGAAGAGACAGAGCAAAAAGAGAGGTATACGATTAAGGAATGGCGAGTTGTTTCACAATGAGCAGCAAGTATTTGGATCGCGCGCCACAACCGCAAAGTGATCTGACCTTTGCACACAGAAAATTATTTATAAAGCAATTTACTCATATGTTTTTTAATCAGACTTATTTTGAAAGGAGGAGGGAGGGGAGTTATTTTCGTCATGCCTACATTTTGAAGTAATCACTTTAGCTCATGTATCAATAAGGAGAAAATACCTTGTACTAAGGTAGAATCTCAACTCTTTTAATTATAGGATTAAAAAAAGCTGAAAATCGTTTTTGGAGAGAAAAGCAAAAAGACCGTACGGAGTCCGGAACCTGAGTAATTAGTCTTCCCTACTATTTTCGTCTTTCAATACTCACTTTACAACATCTCCGACTACCTACAACATAAATAACATGCTCACAAGTTTGCTCCAAAGCTTTAGAACGCGTCTACGCAGAAAATCAATACCAACATTTTCTATGATTCATTTAAATGAACGATTGATGAATAGCCACAAAATTTGGATGAAGATGCATAACAAGGAGTTTAAGGATTCTATACAAAATTCATGAAAATCTATGAGAATGAAGGAGGCGCCTATATTTTTTGATCTTTTTCGGAGGAAACCTACGGGAGACCCCATTTAGGTCTACAATAAGCAAACACTTTTGCGTATTCATAACTGTGTTTCCCTCATACAACAACCCATATGGAACACCTATTATGATCCCTTGACCCAA